CAAAACCACCCCTGAAAAAGTAATTTTTCCGAAGTCTGATTGCAGCCATTTTTCAAGTGGCAACCCTCCACTTTCTCGGGCACTTAGGACCATTTTTCAACCGTAGTTTTTAGCCCTTCTGCTCTCATATGAAAGCTCAAAGACCCAGGGAGTTGATCCTGGTAACGATTTACACAATCTCATTATTTTGGGGGCCAAATAATCTCCTTTTTCAAAAGATACTGTGGGGGCACTTTTAATGCTAATGAGCTGGTCAAAAATTCTCACTTGAATTAGTGGTCTGCACCCCTATGGTACAAAGGGGTTTCGTGATTGCGAAATTAAACAGGTGGTGCGTGGCCAGCGTTCGCGCGCTCTGGCTATGGACTTACCAGGCATGCCAGAAAGCGGTAATTGGCCAGATGTTACATCCCGGGCAGTTCAAACTCCTGTGTCCTTAATGTCGTCACTCGTAGAGTGGATCGATGTGGCAATTGTAAACAAGCATGGGTAGTTGCGATGTAGTGTATACGGGGGTACCCGGCTTCTAAGGTCGTAATCTCAAACCGATAAGAAAGGCGTTCATTTGAAATCTGAGTTTTGACAGTTAAAAGCATTATCGGGCTTGACAAATACGTTACGTAAGGGCTAGTTCTAATGAGCCCCTTTTGCTTGATGGTTAAAAGAAACGGCATTTCTTCCACTGGTTCTCGCCCCCTGTTTCTCCGTGTTATTAGAAGTTACAGATCAGGTATTATGCAATACTGTCGATTTCATCTAGCTAGATTTTTGTACACGACTTTTACTCATTATTTCCGACAAGTTTGTGTCCTTCCTCCATGTTCCGACAATGCTAACAAAGGCTTTCACCATAAATCAGCCGATTAAGTCCAGCCCTACTGGCAATCGTTTTCAAGGACATTGTAAGAGATCATTTCAATGCTCATGCAACAATATAGAACCGGCGTTCTTTGAGACCTCTGGATCTGTGTTGTATATTGTACGCCCCCTAGCGATGTCATGCATGTTTTCAAGAGTGTACTTCTTGTGAACTTCACGGTTTATCGTATACTAGGCACGAAATGGGACAGAGGGGTACCCCCCAAACAAGTCCAATCTGGCACACTCCGCCTATTGTCACTTAACCCCCCCCCCCATGTCTGAAACAAATTCCTGAGAAACCAGTTCTACCTGTATGCACTGACCAACATAAAGGCGGGGAGATCTTTCTGTCCCATAGTTTACTTCTAACACTGAATTATTAAGTCCTTTCGGGTAAACGATTATCACACACGGTGTTTCGTGTTGTCAATTTTGAGTTTTGGTCGATTGTGGCCACAAACGCATCCAGTCGGGAAGACAAAAAATTGTGAAAATCCGTAAACAAATCTGGAATCTTTAGGCCTCGCTCCATACCACAGCTTATTTCTGAAAACTTACAGAATACTTCGGACTTTAAAAATCATGTCAAAACGTAAGCAAACGCTCGGCGAAAAGATATCCGGGCCGTACCCTAAGACCACTGTTTTCGCACACTCTATGACTATATCTTTTGTCAAGGAATGCGTCAGAAATAGCCGTGACCTGTATGTAAATTTGCCCCCTCTTTTTGTCTCCAAAGGTGCAAAAAGTACATATACATAATGTGCATCAAACGCGGACAGGACACAAGTAACCTTTATTATGTATGCAAATACCCCTAGAATTGGACATGCGTAGTTGAAAAGTGCGGCTTGCGGCTGAAGCATTCCTGACTTGATTTTTTTGGGGGAAGGGCGTGCCAGCCTGCATGCGAACAATCTACATCTTCATCCCTCGCTGATAGAAAGCTGATCTTCGTAATACGGGTTGTAACTGATGGTGTTGATTTTCGGAGACATTTCCACTCAAAAATAAATTGGCCATGACGCGATTTCTGTTCCTTGTTCTGATGCTTGATGGTGTAGGTCTCGTTGCCTGCACCGATGTGTCGTTCCAAATACTGCTGACGGGATCATGGCTCCATGAAGATGGGACACTGGCTGTGGACGGATTCGTGGAGGGTGACACGGCCGTCTTCGCTTGCCGGGCTAAAGAGACAGACAACCGTCCCTTTGACACGGTTCAGATGCAGTGGAAAAGGTACAGCCGTAGCGACTGGACGGTGATCGCTGATCGCGAGCGAATCGTTTTCTTTGACGCTTTAAACCGGTTCTCCAACGCGACCCTCTACACTAACAGTCAGAACGAGACGGAGTACAGCATCACCATCAGTCACGTCAGCCGATATGACGTCTGGACACGGGCACCATTCCGATGCTCATTTAGCGTCAGTGATTCTGGGGTCCTTTTCACAAAGAGCACGGTAGAAGAAATGAAAGTGGCATGGAGCCCGCCGTCACCAACGTGTTCCATCTCTATTCCCTTTGACTCGAAAGCCCAGAAAGGCGACGATCTTTCTTACTACTGTACCATTACTGATGCCGATGAACGCTCCCGCGGTTTGCTCACTGTGTGGAGCGGTAATTTCGAAGTTCCACTCTTCCAGAGATCCATGACAGCCCTTCGTCCACCCTTTCTGGGATATGAGTACAATAGCACATATGTAACCGAGGTGACGGACAGAAGTTCACAAGATGTGTACATGTGTCGCTACAGTGCCACCGGTGGCTTTGAGGATTACAATTCCAACTGCACGTTTAACAAACTGATTTGTACCGTGGATAACTTGGATGACCCCTGCCCTGTCTCGAACGCCCGTGAACCCGGACAATGCCTCACTTCTGTCTTCATAGGCATGATATCGATTATAGTGTCGGTTGTATTGTTCTGAGTGGCACCATAACTTGTCATCTAGCACATCCTTGCTGCCGCAGTATGTATGTTCCACGTGTTCACATGCATGCAGTGACCTCTTGTGTAAAATTTAACTTTCAATTTTCAATTTTCCACGTAAACAGTACCGTTAAAATGTAGTTGCAATGATTTTTTTCTAAGATCTATTTTTCTGCAACGTTATACTCTTCCTCAAAACAACTGTACCCCCCTTCGGGTAAAGGCATTCAAAAATGTACTTTTCAAAAAACATTTAAAATTGCCCATGCTTTCCTATAGAAAACTGAGGGCGTTGTTGCTGTGATGTCATCTAGGGAAGACATAGTTTAGTGTTCGTGTTTTCTGTCCAAATCTTGCACCCAGAATTTATTCCGTGAATAAAAAAGGGTTAATTGCTTGCCTATTACAATGTCCTTAAACAACAATTAATCAACGCAGGAGACAAAATTTAGTCCAAACTCTAAAACAAATCTATGTAACACTATAAGACTATCTTCCGGGAGTCAATTTCACAGTTTTGCTCATGGATATGAAAAAATACCATTAGCATGAAAGCAAACAGGCAGCAAAATACCCTTTGAAAGCGTGAAAAAAAAATGAAATGAGATTAACTGAGACAAAAGATGCATTTTGGAGGTTTTTTATTCATTGCAGCTATATTAATATTATTTTACACCTCAAGCGAAAGCGAAGCAAATGTGGCAACCGGAAATATTCGCAGCAGTTTGCACGAGTCGTGATCTTGATAGTAAAAGTTCCTTTCGTGTGTCTGAAGATGTAAGTTATAGTTCAATATCATAACAAATTTTTGGAGTACGATGGGGTCACTAATGTCGTTAAACAATCCATCTGTGGCACACTAACAGGGGTTAATCGTAATTTAAGGTTGCCTTTTAGTTATTTCAATTTTCAGACACCTGTACTTGATAAAAGGGTTCTACCAGACACATTGGTTTCAGTATAGCCCAAGTCGTAGAACTTGACTTGTTTAAAATCGGGAAAGGAGATAATTTGTAACTGTGCTTCTTTTGTCAAGCATAGGGAATGAAACATTTGTTCACCTAAGCTATTTTGTACTTGCTAATGTTTCACCTCTTTTGGGAATTAAACGAGTGAATGAATAATTTGTATCTGGTCTGCGCCACTATAACCAGTCAAGCGAACAGCACAGTGCCCGGGGGAAAGACTCTGGGAGCCGGACGACGATCCAACCCAGCGGACGACGATCCAAGGAATTCGGACGGCAAAGATAAATTGAACCCTGAAGATTTCATGTCATTGTTGGTTCAACACTTGTCAAGATTATGCCAACCACAACTTCAGCTAAAGGTTTCTGCGTCCATCGAGTTCGAAAGAAACACCATCAACCTTGCGAAGGCGAAGTTAGATAGTTGAACCATAGAACAAGGACCTTTCTCTATGGTTGAACACTTGGACTGACCAGAACGGGTGAAAAATGATGTCGAGAGTGTATTAAATCGAGGAAGGGCGATTGTTGCCACAACTGCATTCCTCCTGCCACTTGGGACCACGAAAAGCCCCCTCTTTCAAGAGGAGTATGTTGTTTGCATCCAGAGACACCCCTCAAGTATGCACTCGCTGCCGTTTCATTGCCTGTGATGAGATTGATACAGGAGAGCAAGGGGGTAAGCTGGGTTTGAACGCTAAAATGACGGATAAAAGCATTCTTTCTTTATCATGGAGGTATAGGAAACCCCAATGGTTGAATGGGCGCTTTATTACAGGCATTAATGCGCCTGCAAAACGTTACGTAAGGGCTCCATCGAGCGGATCTGTTGTTTGACAACCAAAAGAAAGGTATAAACGGAAAGGAGAACCATAGAACGACGTGCGTCATATGCACAATTATGCTCAGGACGCATTAAGTAGGTACTGTTGCACTGCAACAGTACGACTTTGAAAATCATATCAAAACGTAAACAAACTTTCGGCAAAAGAGCTTTGGACCCTATAAAACCATTTGTTCGCACACTATTTGACTATTTTTTTTTAGGAATGCATTAGAAATAGCCCTAACCCTCCCCTGTAAATAATTATTTTTGATGATCTGAACTGCTTGTCTAACACGACCCTCACCACAAACAGCCGAAATGAGAGAACAGCATCACCATCAGTCACGTGAGCCGATCTGACGTCTGGATATGGGCACCGTTCCAATGCTCCTTTGGTGTCAGTGATTCTGGGATCCATGTCACAAAGAGCACTGTAGAAAAAATGAAAGAAGGCTACAGCTCGCCGTCACCGACATGTTCCATCTCTATTCCCTTCTGCTCGAAGGTGTCAGTGATTCTGGGACCCATGTCACAAAGAGCACTGTAGAAAAAATTAAAGAAGGCTACAGCTCGCCGTCACCGACATGTTCCATCTCTATTCCCTTCTGCTCGAAGCCTGTCTTACTATATTGCACCATCACTGTTGCTGATGAGTGCTCCCGCGGTTTGCTCTCTGTGTGGAGATGTGATTTTCAACTTCCTCTCTTTCAAAGATGCAGGAATAACATTCGCCCGCCCTTTCCAGTATTTGAGTACAATAGCACATTATGTAACCGAGGTGAGGGACAGAAGTTCACGTGATGTGTACATGTGTCGCTACAGTGCCACCGGTTACAATTCAAACTGATTTGTACCGTGGATAACTTGGCTGATCCCTGCCCTGTCTCGAACACCTGTGAACCCAGACAGTTCCCGACTTTCGCCTTGTGATGTCCGTTTTCCTTTCACCATGTCGATTTTCAGACACACTAGATAAAAAGGATTCTAGCAGTACGTATCATACTTTAAATTTGCGAGAATGGGTTGTTCATTGGCTTATGGACAGTTAAGAAATGAAGATTAGAGCTCCTCTTACCCAACATACAGTGTATGCTATATGAGATTACGGGTGATTCAGACTTACAGTGTAGGGAGTGAAACGTCGGTTCAGGGTTGTTCTGCAAATTCAGAATTGAGCAAGATTTTCCTTGTGATAACATCTTGGGAATGATACAATTCTAGACATGACTGTTTCTTTATGAAGGTTATAAATGCACAGTAGAAATGTGATATTCGTACACAAAATACATGTATAATACAGGGTAAATAAACTATATTACACTGGAAAGGGGAATATTCTTCAAGTACTTTTTAAAACCATGTATACTTCTGAAGTAGGGTACTGGGGGTGATTTTATTCCAGAGAAAAGGGCCTTGATGTCGAACTTTTTATTAAGAAATATTGTAGTTCTTGCCTTTGTAATGTGAAACTTGGCTGCTGACCTAGTATTATTTGAGTAGACTTCAGTGTTCCTCAGAAACAATGATTTGGTTTCAGGGGGCAGAAAATTGTTTTCAAATTTAATTCACATTAGAATACCCAGTTGATATTTGTATAGATTGAAAATTGATAGGGTGTTCAGTTTCCGGAATAGCGGTTCGGTATGGTCTCTAAGACCAGAGTTTGTACTAACCCGTAGCATTTGTTTTTGTAATATTAATAATTTATTCATAGAGGTCAACTGGGAGTTTCCCCAAACTAACAATCCATACTGAAGATGGGGCAGAGCTACGGTATTATAAACAGAAAGCAGTACTTTTGTTGGCAATATGTATTTCAACTTGCGCAAAATCCCCAGTATTCGTGAAACTGACATATGGATCTGCTGGTAGTGCAGTTTCCATTTAAGACCTTTATCAATAATAACACCGAGAAATTTGAAGGAACTTACTGGACTTATTTTTGAATTATTAACATATACATCAATAATACTATTCCTGTCGGTATTATAGCAGAGCATATAACACGTCTTTTTCATTTATCGCAAGCCGATTATTAAGCCAATACGAAATGCGACGTAATTCTTTGTTTAAAGTACTGACTACTTCCTTTAAATGATTTTGACTGTGTAAAATATTAGTATCATCTGCAAATAAAATAAAGGATACTAAACTCGAAGAATTACAAATGTCGTTGATATAAATGAGAAAATGAATAGGGCCTAGGATTGATCCTTGTGGGATACCACATCTGAAAGGTTTATTAAGAGTTGATGACGATGTTTTCATTGGACCAACTGTTTTCGGTCAGAAAGACAGTTTCTAAACCAATCCAAAGCCGCTCCTCTAATGCCATATCTATTCAATTTTAAAACAAAATATTATGATCAATTGTAATGGAAGACAGTACATGACATCTCTTTTTGATTACTCTCAGTAAAAATAGTGCCACCTTTTCAAACATGATTCTCCATGTTTTTCCTGACAAATGAGAGAAGTGTTGTGAAGTTACAAACAGCTCTGGAAGTCACCAGAGCTGGCAGTCACGATCGATAGAAGGGCGTTGCTCATTTGAGAGGTTTTCTATTCCAACCCCAAAATTTATCATTCAAGACCGTAGTGAGAAAAGTTTGCTCACTAATCTTTATGCGGTCAGGACTGAATGAAAAATCCCCAATGTAAACAAAATTTACAAGAGAGGTATCAAATTCTGCACTGACTGAGCACAGCATTATTTTATTTTGTGGCTGATCTGAGTCAGCGGCTGAAAGGGGTGTATCCTCTATAAATTCCACATTACTCGAAACTGTATTTCGGTGCACAGTGTCCATTAATCCGAATTATTTCTACCTAAGTTGAAACGTGGTGGATTCGTGGGGCAATGTGCCCACCAGACTATTTATCAGACTGCAATCAAATGGATAGGTTTTCCCTGGAAATATATTGGAACTGTACCAAAATTTCGCCTTTACTGTAAAATTTGATTGTGAACTTTCATCACTTCATCAGTTTAATTTTGCAGTGACATGCACGATGAACGTTCTGATTCATTCTACTTGGCGGGATTTTCGCCTCGTGCATACTATGAGCCTCGAGCTGGACCAAGAAAGGGTGCAAAGTTCTTAGCAACGGAGGCTCCTTTGTTCGGAACTGAACTTCGCTGGTTAACGAACGACTAGGAAATACACGCGTTACGGTCGCATCGCTACCAACGAACTGAACACTCCCGACCAAAAGGGCTCTTCCAACCAATGAAGGTTTGCTTCTGCTCGAGGCGGATAGACTGTCGTGGTGGTTTGAAAAAAAAAACAAATGCATCTTTCATTTCTTTTATGCAGTTTCCCGAGACGTTAATGTCAGCAATGCCTAATGCGCGCGAAATAGCCGTGATCCGATTCTCTTGTAACTAACTACGTAATGTTCTTTGCTTCACCTCATTAACACAAACACTTAAGTCAAGAACAGGCCCGGCCCTGGCGAAAAGCTGACCCACCGCAAAAATCATAGGCAGATATTTTACCTGTTGTTCTTGTGATGTGCCACCCTCGCTGGTACTGTGCTCCTCCCCAACGCCCGAAGCTGGTGACGGGGCTGATGATTGAGCCTAACTTTCGAGGTTGTACCATGATGGCAGCCAAGCGTCATTAATGGGCGCCATCAAGGCCAAAATTAATATTTTACAGAAACCAAAAACACAGCTCAAAATTTAAAACCAAAGAAAAGAAAAATTACATAAACAAAGGACATCAAGAAAGTGAAAAGGATAAATTAAAAACAAATATCAGAAAACTGAAGCAGAGTTCTAAACCCTGCTCTACGAACAGCAATTGCGAACTATATGATGAAAACCTCAAACGATCAGAGAAAAGGAAATGATCAACAGACAAAACTAAATTAGAAAAAAGGACAGAAATGAATAATAAAAGCACAAACCAAACGATCATAGAACAAAACCAAAGGATCTAAAGACAAAAACTAAACCCTAAACGATTAAACGACGGAGCCAAACGATCAAGGGACAAAGCCAAACGATAAAAGGACAAATAGAAACAACTAAGTACAAGCAAACGTTGGGGGCGGCAATTTATGACGCTATGACAGCGCGTAATCCTATCTCGAATCTAGTGTGTCAAAGAAGTCATAGCTCGTTACTTTTTGAGAGTTTAGTTATCGATAAAAAAAAAACAATTTTGTCATGATAACCGAGAAGACCACGAACCGTTTACTCGACGCTCATGACAGAGTACAAGCGATGAATGCGTTACCACCAACAGACTAGACGTCAGCGGCGGTAGGCCCTCGGCCTACCGGTGAGGCTATGCCTAACGATACACGTAGTTGAGGTGCCAGTAGGCGTGGGCCCAGTTCTGTTATGCCAAATGTCACTACCAGATACACATGGGCGTAAATCCCTGGGGATGGGATATTTATCCCCCATTTTTTTGAGGTGGGGGATTGGCAATCGAATCACCACCCCCCCCGCACTTTTTCGTAATGAGCAAAAATTAAAGCGGATTGTGAAGAATTTTAAGGATTCCCAAGCGACTCCGACTAGTACGTGGCGTTTGCAATATCAATTCTGGTAACTGCTCGTTTCATACAGAGGAATAACACGAAAAGGTCTGTTCGTGCATGTCCTTGTGTAACAACAGCTCTTACCGGAAGAAATGCATGGTTGACATGCACAACATCTACAAGCAATCGTATGTGATCCTCCAATCTCTGAAATGGACGTGTATCGAGTTTTCACAGAGTCATTTTGTTCCATAGGCCAAGTCGCAAGTCATTTCATAGAGCGTCTCCGAAACAAGTGGAATCAGCTTTAATAGACTTCGGTTTTGCTGGTTCCCGTCAGAGCTTGAACGTGTGGGTTCGAAAGCTTTTTCAAGGTGGCTGGAACCAACGAAACCAGGCCACTCGTTTCGAAAACGCCCTTAGTCTCAGTCGGTTGATCTCCGTGAATTTCCCCTCGTAAAGTCACGGGCCACGTTTCCGTTGGTACAGTTAAAAGGGAAACATGTTATAAAGAAAAATCCAAAATTAATGACACGAGTCAAAAACTTCGTGCACCTTTAAGGCAGCAAAGTCAGACGGCCTAACGATATCACCCCTGTCAGTCAGTTAATTAAAGTCACTGCACGGTTGATGAAACAGATGATGTGAAGAATGATTCTCCTCGAACAGTTAACAAAATAAGTAGTGAACGAAGCTGCCGAAAATTAGGCTGAAGACGTAGGAAAATTCCTGGGAGAATACACGCGCGAAAACAATTATATGGTGTAGAAGGGAAGTCATTTGTTCCTGAAGGTCTACGTTTGTATAAAGGTTCGTTTGTTGGTGTGACCTTTATAGGTCAAGGGTCGCTACAAACGCAAGCCGACATTACTGGAGTTTCTCAAACAAACATTAAATTATTGTCTTGACGCTAGTCTCTCCATTTCTTTTCAGTTTTTGGTGTTAGCCTTCTACATTTTTAATTATACATGTACGCGCAAAGTGATAGCTCCCGAGTCGGCTTGCACACATTATTGAA